AGCGCCATGCAGGGCATCCTCAAGACAAGCGGTCAGTGTTTTGGCAGGGCCTTCCATCCGAAACTCGAAAAGATCAAGATGTTCGGCTTGCCCTGCTTTACATCACTCATGACGAGCTTGTTAACAAGGCACGCGTGCTGGAGCAGAAGAGGAACTCCACCGTCCTGCGCGACTGTAACAATTCCAGTCATGTGGTGAATCTGTTGTTGATGGACAGGTCTGGCCTGAAATCCTTCTTTGGGCCTTTGTGGCCTTTGTATGCTCAAGTGCGCTACGGCACGAGCAAAGGATGAAAACCCGAAGATGCCGTTGAACGGACCCTTCAGCTGTTTGCGTCTCCTACAACGACCGTCGATGACACGCTGAAAAAGAAGCCACTGCGACTCTGCGACTGCGACTCAGGGACTTGTGCCTAAACTCTTTGCACCCCAACATCCCTAGNNAATTCGCACGAGTTTGAGAGTTGTGAGGGAATGGTGGAGAAGCCAGAGGTCCGGGACTGCACGGGCAGACTGCACGGGGGGACTGCACGGGGAGACTGCGGGGAAATGCCGTTCTTCTGATGCTCCTCTTCCGATGCTCGCGCTCAACTGTGAGGCGGTGCCGCATGCCTCTCGCGGTCAAAGCACCTTGGATGGTCTGGTGCTGCTTATCAGGCGGAGCCGGCAGGAGAGGCTCGTGCGCGGCTTTGATGTGGAGCTGGGCCACTCCGAGGCTTGTTCTCTGCTCAGGGCTGGGAGTTTTCTGCAGTCGCCCCGCGGAATCCCCCGATGAGAGCAACCCTAGCCCAACTCGCCGTTTTGATGCTCTGGATGCTGCTTTTGGTGCTCTGGATGCTTGTTGCTCCGGTGGTGCTCTGGATGCTCGTTTTGGTGCTCTGGGTGTGCGGTGTTCTGGATGCTCGGTGTGGACTCATGCGGGACTCATGTTGACTCATGTGGGACTCATGTTGACTCATGTAGGACTCATGGGGACTCATGTGGAGCTGGGCTCTCTGCTCAGGGCTGGGGGTTTTCTGCAGTCGCCCCTCCNNTTCTGGTGTGGGACTCATGTGGGACTGGGTTCATGTGTGCTCATGCAGAGCTGGGCGGCGTGGAGGCCTGATTCTCCCTCGCCGCGGTCGTTTTCTGGTCTGGATGCTCGTTTTTTGCACTGGATGCTCGTTATTT